ATATCAGGATTTGTCTAAAGTTACATATGCATAAGCGTGAGTTACATGTCAATTTTTTTCAATAGGTTACATCTCACTTACACGTGATTTACATTTTCTATAATGTGAGTTACACCATAATATATGCGAGTTACACAACACAATAAGCCCTTGTTATTCAAATGAAAATTATTTTTATAAAAAAGTCATATTTATATCCCTGATATTAAAAACAAAACATATACCTGCAAAATAATTGAGCAATTAGACTGTTTTTTCATTATTCACATTGAAATCAATGTTTTATTTCTTATACTATATATTGGACAAGTTACATTTCGACTGGACTTGGGTTACATTGATCAATAACGTGAGTTACATTTCTTTACACGTGAGTTACATCACTCTGTTACTGGGATATAGGAAAAAACAAAAAAATACTGTACACGCGTGTACAGTTCATGCGCAAAAAATTTTATTAAAAAAATGCAAAACTGTGTCGTTTTGATTGCAGGGGTACGGTGTTCATCGTGGGAGGGTTCCACGATATACGAACTGAATTGGATGTGATTGCATAAAAACTAAAAAAAATGATAGTAATCTAATTAACTTAAAACATGAAATAGGATCCAAAAGAAAAATGATTGTCGTAAGACTTACCAGTTGCGCCGGGACAAATCTAGAACCATGTTTAAAAAGGGGGTTGTTTAGCACACCACGTTTTTACTTTATGTAACCATAGCATGACTATACTAACCTTTTTAATTAAAATAAATCATTAATAAAATAAAATTGATGCTTAGTTCTCTAAGGATCACACCATTCACACGGCCTCCCATATAGTATATCAATTTTAAATTCTCTCTCCATCCAATAACTTGCTGCCATGAGGCAAATAGTTTTTTTTTATGAAATTATATTGTGCTCCGTTTTTTTAAAAAAAAATAATACTCCCTGTGTCCCAAAATAACTTTCCTGATTTCCTTTTCGGTCTGTCCCAAAATAATTATCGTCTTTCCTCTTTTGACAATAATGTGTGGCTCCCCATCCTACACATCTAGCTTTTGCGGATGACATCATCATTTTCCTCAATGGCTCCCCGTCCTCCATGCACAATCTCAAATCCTTCCTGGACCTATTCACAAGCGGTACTGGCTTGACCATCAACCTCACAGAAAAAGAATAATGGAAAAAGAAGCGGGAATGGTCACAACGCTACTCCCAGACACATACCTTGGGGTTACCCTTTAGTCCTTCACCATGGCATCACCAGACCCATACACTTCACAAACCTCAACCAAGCTATTGAATCCCAACTGAATACCTCAAAAATGAAAATTCTCAGTCAAGGAGGGAAGCTAATACTCATTAAACATGTTCTCAGTGCCATTCCAATGCACCATCTGGCCGTCACTAAGATCCCAAAAACTGTCATCAACATTCTACAACGACTCATGGGAAACTTCTTTTGGGGCAATAAGAAAGGAAAACACAGATACCACTAGCACAATTGGAAGAAAATATGTTTCCAAGGGGAGGAAGGGGGATTAAACGTGAGATCTCTTAGAGACATGCAGACAGCGTTCCAATTAAAAACAAGGTAGACTTCCAAAACAGTAACATCCTTAATTATGGTCTTGATACATGCATTTACACTACGATAGAACAGGTATTATGAGATCAACCCAAAAAGACTCTCACACCTGGAAACAAATCTGTGAACTTTCCGTAAGGCTCACTTTGTTAGGAACTTGTCTAAAGTGTTCCTAGAACTTCCACGAAATTGAAAGAGTTACTGAAGGTATCGCCGGAGTTCCGCCGGAGTTCAACCGAGAAGGGTAGAACTTCTTAAAGCTCATTCAAGGTGAGTTGACAGCTTAATGTCTTACAAATCTTGGCTTAATTAATGTCTTATAATCTTGGGCTTATCACAGATGATAAACCCTTGTTAGGAACTTGTCAAAGGTGTTCCTAGAACTTTCATGAAGTACATTGAAAGAGTTACCGGAGGTATTGCCGGAGTCCAACAAAGTTCGCCGGAATTCCGCCGGAGTTCAACCAAGAAGGGTAGAACTTCTTAAAGCTCATTCAAACTGAGTTGACGGCTTAATGTCTTATAAATCTTGGGTTAAGTATGAGATTACCTAAAGAAATGTTATATGTATTAGATAATGATGTTTAAAAGAGTTTAAGCGTGTAATTAGCCAAGGTGATTAGGCTTATGTGAACTAAAATAGTATATTATGCATGTGATTGAAGAAAAATGCACATAAAAACATATGTGATGTTCGGAGTGGCCAAAATGGCATTTATTGATTGTTTAAGACTTGATACATATTGTGTATAAGTTTTGGAGCAATCGGAGTACGTTCGGGGGGTCAACGGGCCGTTGACCCCGGGCAGAAGGTGGACCGGTGCCGGTCAGGGGCCTGAACTGGCGCCGATTTGGCCACTGTGTGGCCGGTTCATGATTTTGCAAGTGAGCCGGCAGCAGTCTAGCAATAAACCCACTCCGGTTCGGTCTTGGGTTTTGAGGCCGGTTTTTTATAAAATTTGTTTCGGGGCCCGATTCAAGGTAAATTCGGCCCCGGATCGACATCCTATATGTGTATATTTTGCATGGTATTGCATGGAATATGATGTTTAATTGCTAAAGCTTGATATATGATGATTAAATGTTAAGGTTTGGATTAGTCGTTAGTAACAATATGATATAGACCATAACCGGATAAGGTATATGGTAGATCATAGGTTCGGGTGGAACACACAGGGGTCGGGCGCGGTGTCCTCAAAACTCATAGGTTCGAGTGGAGTATCCAGGGACCGGGCGGTGTCCTCAAAACTCGGATATTAAGGGTGGAGTACCCAGAGACCGGGCGGTGTCCTCAAAACTCGGATATTAGAGGTGAAGTACCCAGGGTCGGGCGGTGTCCTAAAACTTGTTAATACCGGGAGAGTAGCTCGGTGGCTGAGTAAGACTATCAACACTCGATGAGACAATGAACTCTAGGTTATTGTGGGAGAGTTTAACACCGGGTTGGATATGGGGACGGGGAAAAGTCAAGGACTAAGTCCACCATGATTTTATTGATTTGATCAAATGACCTACGGGTCGAATATTTTCCAAGGGTATATATTGATGTGTATTTCAAAGATTTGGGAGAAATTATAAATGTATGTATCACCCTATATTTGGGTCATATACTTGAAACATTACGTTAGTTATTCTACATTTAGCCTACTTCTCGCCAATACAAGTTTTACTGACCCCTCCGAGGGGCCTACCATTTTCAGGTTGAAGCTAAAGCTTATTACATGCACCTTTCCACGGTGAAGTGATATCGAGGAAGACGTGGTTCACGCTTCCTTTATTGTTTTGAAACTATAAACTATATTCATGGATATTTTGTAATAAATAGTTTGTTTTGGGCCTGCGAGCCCACGTTTTGCCATATGTGGCCCATGATTGACTACTGAATATTTATGTTATTCACTCAACCTAAAGTGTGAGGTTGTTATGTATGTTTACTTTCTGAGTATGATATGAGCTATGCTCATGGACGCCTTGCCCACTTAAGTGAAGTTGACCTGCGGGTGACGTCATTTGACTGTGCAGTAATTATACACCCACTTAGATGCGGTTTGGGGCGTGTCACATAGAGTAAATGAAAAAGTAGGAAACTGAGTATATTGAGAAGAGAAAAATAATGTAAAACTAGGAAAGAAAAAGTAGTGTGTAAAAAGTAAAAAAGGGTAAGGGTAGTAAAAGTGAACATATAAAAGTATTTTGATAAGAAAAACTTACCAAAAAAGGAAAAGAGGGAATAGCAATTAAAAAACATTCCAAAAAAGAATACAAGACATTTATTAAAGAACGGGGAGGGGGTTATAAATTAAATAAAAAATATAAACACATATATATATTAAATACATAAATACACAAATATATTTATTTGATGAAATAATTACATATTTATGACTATAATAAAGATTGTTTACAAAAAAGTGACTATTGACTAGAAAATAATGGAATCATAGTAAATTATGTTCATTTTAAACTTAAGGGCTCATTTGGTAATACCAAAATCGGCTGTATTGGCTTATTTTGCTGAAATTTATGAATTTATGGCTAAAATGGCTGGATTAGCAAATTTTGCTGACTTATGATCATCTACAATAACTTCAGCAATACATCCACAAAGTAACTTCAACCTTACTTGTTCTTATTATCACAAATTCAGCGTGCGAAATAAAAAATTTCGTGTTTGGTAAAAAAGTTGGCTGATAAATCTGATAAACCAAAAAACAAGGTTATCAAACGAGCTCCAAGTTACCATGACACTACATTATAGTAATTATTAGTCATATAATCATGTTTATATAAATAAGTTTTATTTTAGTAATATGTTTTAAATAAACCCTTAATTAATTTATATTTTTGTATATTTTATTTATTTATTTAACTTATTAGTATTTATTTATTTAACTTATACTATGTATCGAGGTATTTTATTTGTTTATTAAAGTATATTACACAAAATTCACTATTTACTAGACATTGCAACTTAAACTTTTTTCACATTAATCACTTCTATTCTATAACACTATCAATTATCAACCTTTACTACTGAGTGTTTTATCAAAAATTACTTTAAAACCTATTTTTTATACTAGAAGCTATACCAAACCTATGAGTGCTTGCTATTGCTTCTGTTTAAAAAAGTGACTATTTAAAGTGTTTTTAGGGAAAAAAAATGCTTAATGATAAATATTGACAGTGTTTAAAAAAATGATTTTGAAAAGTAAAAGTTGATAATGTTTCATAAAATATGTGATTTTTCGTTTAATAGAAAAAGTCAAAAACAATTTTCAACTTTTAGCTTTTAAGTGTTTAATCTAAAAACACTAATTTTAACTTTTTGTAAGCCAAAAGTCAAAAAGTGTTTTTTTAAGCGTTTACAAACAGATCCTAAGTGTGCAATTCAATGTGTTTTTTTTTTTGGATAAATGGTCCAAATGAGCGCCAATTCAATAGTTTCTCTTCTTTTTTATTTATTTGCTCATAAGAGAAAGATCAACATTTAAATAAGAGCTGGTCATTTGGGATGGGGGGCTATAGCCTATATATCACAATTCACAACAGATCTGCACTCATATTTTACATCCTTCGAAGTTCGAACACCTACCACGTAATTGAAAAAAGAAAAGTGTTTAAGAAATATGTTACTACTATGTATTATGCAAGGTCGCAAGGATATCAAATTTGCATTCTTGCATTAGTAACACAGTTTGTAAGCTAAAGAAATAAATAGAGAAAATTAGAGGAGACGCATTGTTGAAGAGCCAAAAATGTCAATTCTGCACCAGCAAAATGACTAGTTGAGAGCCATTTTATCACACAGCAATCGGTAAGCAGCACTGCACGCCTTAAATTTCTCTTCTGCAACAATCTGAAACCATGTTTCAGCTATAAATAAAAACAAGACTTATTATAGTCTTATAGACAATTATGTCATACGCGTACACACACATCTGTGTGTGAACATGTACACACACATCGCATGCTTGGTTTGCAAGAAGCCAGTGCAAATTTAGATTTCTTTTGCATGATCGGACAAAGAAAATACCTTGGATGGGCCCTGGTGGCGGTCTGGATGCCATTTGAATGCGCATGCTCGATATCTATAGGAGACGTGATCAACGAAATGTAATTTTTCGAGACAGACATAACAGTTGCATAAGAAATAGATGATTCTGATTGTTAGAGTCAATATTTGTGATGGGGAGAGAATTGTTTAAGCTGATAAAAGTGCAGCAAGGAAGGCAACCGCATTCCGTATGTAGAAGCACGACTCTGGTCAATAATCAATAAATTCTGAATCTTAAATGTGTCATTTGTTCTTGCAAAATAAAACAAAATGTGTCATTTGTGAAAAATCTGACTAGTCGAATTATTGAGAAACTGCGTGTTTTGTGGAATTGCATTTGTGAAAAAATAACTAGAAGATTAATTATATAGTCAAAGCTGCATTGTGAGTTCTTCAGCAACTAATCCATATGAATGAGGAAGTGATGATGAAAGTGAAAGAGGTGAAGCTCCTAGATCAGAAATCAAGGAGGTATTGGGAAGGAAGAGGCGCAAAGATGAAGCTGAAGGTCAAGGCTGTTTCATATCACCCACCTTCAGGACAAAGTGGTTGTCCAAGGGGGAGATATGATAGGATCATGGGCTGAGGAGAATAATAATAATAATAAGAATATATTAGAATAATAGTAAATAATTGTGATAGTGTATTAGAGGGTCCTGGACCAGGTACTAGTTAGCTTTGGCTGGCCCATAAGAAAAATATTATAAATAGGAGTTGGGAATAGAATAAAGAGGTAGGCAGAAATGCCAGAAATTGGAATTAGACTTGGGACTTGGGAGAGGAGACTGCTCTAAGTGTCTCGGTCTGTTTCTTATCTTTCTTTCTGTCTACGCTATTGTTATCCTGTTAATTTCTACTGCTTTCCTCTAAGTGTTATCCTGTTATCCTGTTAATTTCTACTGCTCTAAGTGTCTCGATCTGTTTCTTATCTTTCTTTCTGTCTACGCTATTGTTATCCTGTTAATTTCTACTGCATAGAAAACTCAACTATGCAGTAGAAAATCAGTATTTTATTGATGATGTTTTCAGAATCGAAACTGGACTACACTGGCGTAGACAGAAAGAAAGAGAAGAACGGATGCTATTGAGACAATTCGAGTAGTCTCGCACTCCCAAGCCTATTCTCTAATTCCAATTTCTGCCTACCCCTTTATTCTACTCCCAACTCCTATTTATAATATTTTCCTTATGGGCCAGCCAAAGCTAACTAGTACCTGGCCCAGGACCCTCTAATACACTAACACAATCATTTACTATTATTCTAATATTCTTATTATTATTCTCCTCAGCCCATGATCCTATCAAAGCCCCTTGACCACTTAGCTTTCTCGAAAATGACGATGTGTTGTAAGGGAAATTTCTCAAAATAGGATTAAAACCAAGGTGGTTTCCTTAAATATGAGTATTATGCTTTTGAGCCAAAATAGGAGTAGAGTACTATTGCATTATCAGGCACTAATATGGCTGTACTACTGCCATATTATGACAGTACATTACTATTTCCGAAAAAAATATAGTACTCCTAATTAGAGAAATCACATTGTTTTTAACATTACCCTCAACATTTGTGGTTTGTCCAAAAGATTCTTGTAGAGATGTATCAAATATTTTGGTTAATAAAATGCATTAATAATAGACAACCACATTCAGTATGAAGAAACGCAATTCATGTCAATATCATAACACTACCTCTGCCCCAAAAACATGTTCCGGATCACATATTTATGAAACACAAAATTTTGCTTTGACATTTCAAGTATATGGTATACCCTTTATATCAAATTGAAGTATTGAACACAAAATAATCAAAAAGTAAAGGTAACAGTAACACTTGCCTAGTAGATTTTCCTTCTAGTGGACACGGGAATTTCATTTTAGGACATCCAAATAAGGAAAGTGAGAACTTGTTTTTGGAACAGAGGGAGTATTCAATAATCTGTTAGTGTAGAGGGGTCATTTGTTGAAAATCAGATTGTTAATGCATAAAGAGGCTTGATTTTAATTTTCAAAAACCTGGAGGGCCATGTGGTTATTCAACCAAACCTCGAGGGAGGGAGCAAACTGGAAATATGAAGATGATAATGAGACAGGGAGCAAACTTACGCGTTTTTAACATCTTCTAGATTTAAAGGACCAGAGGCATTCAACCCAAGGGCCAGACGCTCTGAAACCAAACCTGATTCATGGGTGTCACATTCTGTTGATTTATCATCATACCCATACTCATCTTTAAATCTAAACCTCCACTTTGAATTCCCGTGAATGTTAGAGTGACGTGATGAATGCCTATCTCGTACATCTTCATTTACAAATGACCATCTATAGTAATCCTTACCACCTAATCCAGTGCGGAAAATACTATCTACTTCGAAGTCCAAATCTTCAACAAAATGAAACCCTCCTGTAAACAAAGAAAAAACACGAATAAGGCACACTCATGTGATAAATATGCACAAATGATGAGCTCCTATCCCTTTTTTGGATCCAGAGAGGTGAGTGGAAATGAGGAAGAGGATGAAAACGATGAGGGTTTTTTATCAATAAAGAAGTGATAAGGAACTAATTTTTGGAAATTAGTTGTATGTTGAAATGGAGCCAAAGACTCACTATTTTTTTGGCTTGGGAATACGATGGAATAAAGCAAAATGGCTCACTAAACTGTCTATGCTTCTTTGTTATGAAGCAACAGTCATTTCAATTAATTTTCGACGCGATTTTCACTGTGGGTCATCCGGGAATAGTCTCTTTGTGCTTTAGCACAGGGGTAAGACTGTGTACATCTGACCCCCCCTTACCCCGCCGTAGGTGGGAGCCTTTGCGGCACTGGGGTAATGATAATGCTGACAATGATGAGTTGTATGTTGAAAAAATGAAATTGGCTTTTTGATACTTCGAATTATTTTGTAATAAAAAATATACTCCCTCTGTACCACTAAACTTTGTGATTTGTAGTTCTCTATACCCGATGATAAGGTTAAACCCACCCTCACAATTTTTAAATAAGTTTTGATGTTTAAAAACTACAGCAAATGTTCTCTTGGAGCACTTATCCAAATTTGAATACAATATAAGTTGATACTCAAAATCAGAGAGCAAAAAGGAATTGCTTTGACCACAAAATCTACATCCATTGCAATAATGAACAGTTTTGATTCTGAAAAAAAGGCAAGAGAAAATAAAAAGAAAAGATTTAACTCCTCAAAATTCCCAAATTGGGAGAGTGAGATGTGAGGAGTTTGAATTGGACACATTAACCTGAAATCTGATTCCTCTAAATAGTGTTCTTTTAGTTCAAAAGTCAAAATGAGCAATATGTAGAATCCAAACAAATTATTGCTGAGATTTGCCCGGCACTGCCTCCTCTCCCTTCTAAGATCCTCATACCAAACAAGGGATTAGGTCAAAACTAATGACTGACTCCACCACTATGTTGTAGCTTACTCCATTTATGGTATCCTTTGTTCCTAGATCTGCGAGCACTGGACACATTAGACCGAAAATCTTGTTGAAACCACTCCCAACCTTGGCTTGAAGAAGAATCATAATCATCAAAATCGTGATGCAAGATCTGAACACTAGGAAAAAATCGTGAGAAAGATATAATCATTTTTTATTATTTTATATTTACAAAAAACACAACCATTTTGTCATGCTTTGATTTGATTCCAGACTTGTGAGTTATACCAGTCTCTCATTTTTATGTGAAATGGAAAATTTGTTATTATTATTATAGTAGAACCAGAGCATGTGAATCATAAACTATAAATTTCAAATTTATTCTTCATGGAGCGTAAATATACAATTAATATATTAACAATTTGTCTAATTTAGAAATAACCTGAAAAAGGTCATCCGCGATTGCACCAACATTTCGCAGTAATGTTTGTTTTGAATTGAATTTCCTAAACCTTTTGTTCTCGTAGTTAAACCTCTGCAAAGTAGCACTTTTTTCAATAACCTAATATTTATATGGAGCAGAAGTATATAATATGAAACCTATCCAACACAGATTATGAGGATGATGCTATCATGCTATGTAGTCTTGGACTCGGGCCGGGTGGCCTGACCCGGAACCGGCCCGGGACCGGTACTGTGCTGAACCGGCCTGGCCCGGTGGCCCGGCCAGTGACGGTCCGGGTAGGCCCGGACCGGGGGGTTCCCGGTGCGGGCTCGGGTCACCCAAAAGCCGAACCGGCCCGGTTCTAGGTTTTTTAATTTTTTTTTTCATTTTTTTTATCTTTTCGGGTTGGGCTGGGTATTTTGGGCCATTTGGGGTGGTTTGGGGGGTTGGGGGTGAGGGGGATTAATTAGGGGGGGGGAAATGACCCGAGGCCCGGCCCGGACCTGGTGGCTACCCGGGCCGGTCCCGGGCCTCCTCCAAAAAACCCGAGGCCCGGGCCCGACCTGGCCCGGGTCCATGACCAATGCTATGCAACCTAGACCAAATTTATTGACATTTATATAAAACTTGAATTCCAGAAATAGGTTAAAGGCTAACAAATTTTAAGAGCTTCAAGCCTTTAAACGGATTTTTTGTAAGAAACTGCAGTTATAGAAAGCTCCACGGGTATTTAACTAATGCAAGTAATTGCCTAATTGGTCATTCAGAAAAGTATGTCTTCGAAGCCTAAACGGGTATTTTACAACTTTGGGTTTTCCATAGCATGATCATAGCCAGATGATTCGCCTCCGTGTAAAACAAGACAAAATATAGTTGTAAATATAATACTTCACAGTTACACAGTTACATAGCATGAAGTATAGACAATGTCTGATACTTCACACTTGCACAGACCACAGTTACATAGTGTAGTTTGGTAAAATCCCTATGTTTGTGTTGAGAATTTGAGATTACCAGTTTCCATTGAAACTTTCCTATGTTAAATAATGATTTTGAGATAAGCTGACATGTATGATTATTGTTTAGGGTTAAGTAGTTATATAGCATATATACATAGAAAAAGTTTAAATAACAGCTTCTAATTTGATATTTAAATGCACAGCATATTCTCACTTTAGAAACAAATGTGCACAGGATTATTCTTTAAAGACATTAAATACATACAATATGTTTAGGATATTTTTTTCTTTCATGCTAACCGAATAGGCTATGTATTTTTTTTACAAAAATATTTGACATTAATTTCACTATACCTATTTAACGTTGCATATACACCCAAATATTCCTATTGATTTATTGTACTTTAGATAATTTCTATGGAGTATGTTATTTATCTTCAGAATGAATCTTGAGTTCTACTTTTTGAGTTTAATAGAATGTGTGATTTTTTTGTATATACAATTTTTTCTTTCATCAACTCTGAAGATGTAAACTTTCATGTGAATGTGTATTTCTCTATATACTTATCTCAGCTCGCCTGATCCCTGCTCTTTGATTTAAAGGTGACAAATCCCAATACTTTCGGGTGTAGGTTAAAAAGTCAAGATTCTGTCTTTATATTTATCCTTTAAAGATAACATGTGCGATTTCATGCTATAGGATGATCCATTTTCCAGGCAAGGGAATGTTCAAACCAGAAAATTATAATACAGTGTTAAGATTACTAGATTAGACTGGGTCGTTGGGGGGACTTTTTTATCACTATGCATCAAAGCTGGCCCTCTTCAATTCTTCAGTCACACTACACCTTCATAGTAAAATGTGAATCCAAATTTATTCATCAATCAATATATTGTGGGTGACTGTTCTTACCCTTGATGGCCCCTTAATATTCTTCCTTCCACCCTGAGGAAAAAACATTATTCAATTTCAGCAGAACCCCGCTATTTGATATAATATATTACGGAGTAATAGATTAGCTTAAATGCAAGCAATTATTGAAGCTGAACACAAATATACCGTCCTTGAACATGAAAATTTCAAAGCCTTGCTAGTAGTTAAAGCCTTTTTTACCAAGTATATGCAAAACATTCTCTAAGACTACGTTGTAAAATACAGATACACACAGACATATATATGAATTCAATCTGCCGACTTCGTAACTTTCATTTCAAATAACGGAGTTTAATAAAAACAGAAAGCTAGAAAGAGAGGCTCACAGAATCCCAATAGGTGCGTCTTCTGCGTTCGAGGATAGGAGAGGAGTGAAAAAATGAGGCCCTGATGTGAACAGGAGAATTTATTAGAGATAACATGCCTCTATTGGCATTCATCGTTTAATTTGGAAGGCTTTAGAGAGAGAGAACCCGGCACAGCAGAAAAGATGTAGAACACAATCGTGGAGATGGTTATTAGGAAAACTCTAGAGAAAATAGAAATAGGACTGCGAAAATTGTGTTGCTCCAATGCAGTCATCAGGGCTCGTTTCGGCCTCACGTTTGAGTCAGATTGTGTTCACCCAATGGGTGAAACAAAACTCCCTCCCTCAGTAGTCTCTCCAATGTCATGTGACATTATAATTATTATTTTTGTTAAAATTAATATAACTTTTTACTTCAAAAAAAAAATTAATATAACTTTTTTATATACAATCTAAATTTCCCAAAAGAATATATCATGTTTAATAATTTTTTATAATCTTTTCAATGGTATGCATATTGCATATAAAACAAATTGAAAAAAAAAACTTTTTTCTTAAATCTGTTTTTAGCCGGATTTTTTAAAAACATTTACGTACAGAGTATACAATATTGGTACTATATGAGAGATCAAAAAATTAAAATATTGATATATTTTTTGAAAAAATTGAACCAAAAATTGCAATATTGGTATTATATTAAAAAGTTTTCACAATTGCAAAATTTAAAAGAATTGTCATGTCATGCAGCAACTCGATCAATAGGGTGGAGTGGTGTTCACACTCTTTCAAGGGAGTGAACAAAATTGTTCTCCTCGCATTTTTCTTCTTCGTTCAACGGTATCTTAATATCTCATTATTACTTCGTATTAGACTACGTAAGGTAACTCTAAATGCAGCCCCATTTTCTGAATACAACCACTTGATTAAATTTCAATAAGTAAAATTATTTGAAGTACCTATTTATCCTTTATATGGGTCGCTTGCCTCTTCTTGTAAAGCTTCTAAGCATTCCTTTATCTAAGTGCATGTTTGGTAGGCATGCATAAGTCCCTACCTTCTAACTTTCGTACTATTTAAAAAGTATCTAAGAGTTTTTAGTTGAATGTTTGGCATGACGATTTTTAAAAGTTTTTCAAAAAATAAAAGATCTTTTTTGATATGTTACAACGAGCAGCATCTGAGAAAAGTTCGTAGCTTTTAGCATTAATTAGTCTCAACTCCCAAAGCTTGAATGTCAGACAGAACTAACTCAAACAGGCAATTTTTTATCAAACCGCGACCATCTTTTTCTTTTAAAAGCTTTTCAGTCACAAAAAACTAATACTCCCTCCGTCCCAAAATTAACTTCTCACTTTCCTTTTCGGGCAGTCCCGAAATTAACTTCACACTTCAAAACATTCCTTATTTGGCAAATAATCTACATCAAAAAAGTGTCAAACAATGCCAAACAGTATCAAACAGTGTCCAAACAGTGTCAAACAGTGGTTAAACAGTGCAAAACAGTGCCCTTCACAGTAAAGTCAGATTTATTTTCTTAATCTGTGTGAAGTCAAACTGAGAAGTTCATTATGGGACGAAGGGAGTAGTTACTAAAAAGCTCATAAAAGTATCTCTTCGGTTAGTTGTGCCAAACATATCATAAGTCATAACCCACTGTTCTACATAAACTCTATGGATATAAGTAGGCAATGGACCTAGTCCAGTGGTTCTCCCCGTCCAGAACTAGGTCTGGTATTGTTTGGGTCCGGATTGGGTCCATTTTTCCGGTTTCGGGCCTAGGGCCAACTATACCCGCCCAATAGGGGTACCCAATCCCGGTTCACAAACTTTGGACCGAACAGGTCGCTTTCGGTCCTGATTTTGATCTCAAACAACGATTTTTTTAGTCTTGGAATCAGGCAAAATTTAAAATAAAATATAACGGAATCGTGTCCAGAACCGGGACTAGGTCGCCAGGGTGCTCAAAACCGGCCAATCTCGGTCCGGAATTGGGACTGGAGCAACTCGTGTCAGCTCTTTTTTTACCTTTATAGGCTTTATTTTCTTTCTCTATTTACCGGTAGATGCGGCATAAACAAACTTGGTGGTTAATGGAGGTGAACCAGAGGTAATATTCACCTTCGGTGAGCCTTTAAATGAGACCTCGGACTCTACATCTACTATAGTACTATGTCACATCTTCAACTCGGTTTATCACTCCTTTCCACTCAGATCGATTTATCTCGTTGTCGTAGTCACTCCGGTTTGACGCGCCGGTGTAGTAGAACCCCAAGCCGGCGGAACTAGCAACGACAGGTTTCCAGGCAATTTCTGAGGCAACGATGAGTCCTAACACTCTTGCTCTCAGAACCGCCCTCAACCTTGGCACTTCCGACTCAGTCAAATACACATAATTATGATTGTTCTCAAGAATTGCTTAAAGCCTAAAACAAGATCATTTATCACTAGAAGAAGTGGAGAAGAGTTTAGATGCATTTCAAGCATGTTCATTTCACATAAGCTCACGGGCCAATTTAGTGCAAATATGGAAATGCCTACGTTCATTTTTGAAATATTTTGTATTTAGAATTTGATGATGTTGCTTTAATAGGAATTTAGAGTACTGTTGTAAATCAAATGTACTTAAAATATTTCGTTGTAAAAGTACTAGAGTTAGTCGACTTGAAGGATACCGTGCCTCTTCCCACGAGAAACATAGACATTAAGGCAAGTCTGTAGGGAACAGACTTGGCCTTGAGCAGATCGGCTATACCAGAGACATCACTCACATAACTGTCTTTGCACAAGAAAAGCTCAATCGCTAGAAAGATTCGGTTAAGCTAACGTACCAAGCTTAACTCGGAGGAGCCTTCTAACAGGAGATTGTACAAAGAAGCACATTAAATAATTATTTAATGCTATCCAATCATTGAGATACTGATGACTCATGATTGATCGCAACAACCTGCCCAGTAATATTAAATACCCTGAAATAGTAAGTTGACTAGAATATTGGGGTTGACATGGTCAAGTCTACAAGATATGCATAAAGAAGTTGTCTTCTACGCTCCAACGAGAAGAATACTCCTAGTATATAAGATACACTTCGATGAAAGAATGAACTACAAACTTTGAAATCCAGCATACCAATTCTTGAGAGCAAACCTCACACAATAATTCAAACTCTCAACACAAGTTTGTCCACGTTCTTCAGCATACTCTAAAGTCTAAAGTTTCATCAACAAATCTTGTATTTGGACGTTGGAGGAAAAACTTGTTTGCTCTTACAAAGGTTTACTTCTTGAAAAAGAAGGGGTGCCAAAGTAACTAAGTGAAGTGGAGATATTTCAAGAAGCTCGTGAAACTGTCAGTCATTAATCCCTGGTGACAAAAGTGACTACACTTGAAGAAACGGGGAGTGCTTCTTAGGTGCTACGGGACCTAGGCATTGTAACATTTGCTAGTGCTTAGTTGAACAATGTACAAGAGGAACATGTTGTTCCTTGAACAACTATAAAATCCTTGGTGTTGTTTACTTAATGCATTAACTTCTTGTACTTAGCTTAAATTGTTTACTCAAATGAGCATCGACTCCGTGTTTCCGCATATTTCGCTCTAAGAGAAACATAAGGCATATTTGTCTTAGTGTGTTTCAAGGCTACCTGACCAAAATAATATATATACATATATATATAGGGTCGAGATCACATACAAACTAGTTCTCCCATGCAAACTACAAACTAATCTCGTGCGTCCGTTTGTGTGAAATTAATGGCATCCGTATGAGATCCATGGTAAGAGTCTATGGATGACATGCATGGAACGGTTAGTAATAAGGATAATATGGTCATGTGAAAAATATAAGTAGCGGGCAAGTATAACTACTTATGGAAATAATTTCATGATTAAACAAATGAGCCACATACGGAAGGCAATCCCAAAAATTCAGTTAACTCCTACCACTACGTTTAAACCATGTTTAGCAAATTTAGAAAAGAAAAGATGCAATGATTAAAGTTGGAATTTTTAGCCATCAACGAAGGTTGCAATAACAAATCCAATTATTCTTTATTTTGGGAATTAAAAAGTTGACGTGCACTTTGTCACGGTGCGTCAAAATAAAATTCAATACTAACACTTATACGTAGTATAGCGTAGTAGAGTTCGTATCCACAGGGAAAGGAATAATTCTCTCTTTATAAAACTAGTAAATAAAGGGGGGGATTTTGATTGAGTGATTTAATTAATTTAAACACAAAGATGAACGACTTATGTGATTTAATTCAAAGATAAAAAGGACTTGGCAGTGCTACTTTCCACTTGTTGATAAATTTCAGTCGATCATTGTTATATCTATAACTTATCTCCTCTCGAATACTCAATCGAGGAGTATATCCAATTCATCGAGGAAAGTTATTAACAACGACCGTTCATTAATAACCCTTACTATTAGTCAAGTATAGAACAACGCCATATACCGACTTGATAGTAGCATTTAATCTCTTAACTCCTTGATGAAATCAATTGAGATTGATAACCTCAACACAACGGTTTCGGTTTAACCAACAAAATTAATCTCTCTTAAGTTTACTAACCACGACCGTGCATTAATAAACCGAAGTTACTTACTTGTGAAACCATCAACGATTAACCATCGGTTCGTTGATCGTTTCTAGTAATAATTAATATGTGAAACAAAACTAGTTGATCCTTTAAGTAATGTTCAAAAATATTAATATGAAATATGAATAGGAATTAATTAATACTCAAGGAAGAATATTAAGGAAAATGAATCCTACTATAGTTAATATCAAGATGTTAACTAATTGTCATATTAGTAACACTCCCCAATATTAACATAGAGGAAGGAATAGCTATTACTAAGACCAATGTCAAGATGTTAACTAATTGTCATCTTAGTAACACTCCCCAACATTGATATATAAATAGTATTTAAGAGAAGCATTAATATTCAAGGAAAGAAGTTAAGAAAATAACTCACAACTTTAATAATCAACAAGCTTCAAGAGCAACACCAAGAAATGGAAGTTTAGCTCCTCATTTGGAGACTAAACATGCTATAAAAATATAAAAGAAATACTATTCTAAACTGAGCTTAAGAGTATAAAGGAATTGGTTTTTAAAAGTGAAGGAAAGGAGGTGTATTTATAGGCTTTTTTGAGGTGCAGGTCGGGTACTCGATCGAGTATATACATATACTCGATCGAGTATGTGTAGAAACTCAAATTCGATCCATACTCGATCGATATTCGAGTAGAATTCATAGCTATACCCGATCGAGTATGTCGGTGTACCCGATCGGGTATA